GTTGAAGTACTGTCCAGGATGCTGAATAAGTTGTACTTGAACCAGAATTATCAAGGTTTTCACATGGAACCTAGAGGTCCTCAGATAAACCATCTTAGCTTTGCGGATGATGTTATTATATTTACCTCTGGCCAAAGAACTTCTAATTCAGCTTATCATGAAGACTTGACCACTTATGAACAGGTGTCTAACCAGCTTATTAATCGAGACAAGAGCCACTTCATGCTCCATGTTGACTCTCCTCAAGGCATTGCTGAAATGCTTAAGGAGGAAGCTGGTTTTAGACAGAAGGACAACCCAATTAACTACCTGGGATGTCCTCTGTATATAGGGGGCCAGAGAATTATCTACTACTCTCATCTGGTGGATAAGATAGCTAAAAGGATTAGTGGGTGGCAAGCTACGATGTTGAACTTTGGAGGCAGATTAACTATAGTGAAACATGTCTCCACTCCATTCCCATTCACACCATGGCTGCTATTTCCCCTCCTAAAACCACCCTTCACTATATCAAAAGGCTTACTGCTGATTTGTTCTGGGAAGAGAAAAAGATAAGAAAAAGTACCACTGGGCTTCCTGGGAAAATATCACTTTTCCTTATGATGAAGGGGGTCTGGGGTAAGACACCTCAATGATATTTGCAATTCCCTCCAATATAAACAGTGGTGGCACTTTAGAAGTACTAATTCCCTATGGGGGCAATTCCTCAAGGCCAAGTATTGTCAAGAGCTAATCCTGTTGTTAAGAAGTGGGATACGGTCAATCACTGGTCTGGAAATACATGAGCAATAATAAATCTCAGGTTGAAGAACATATCATATGGAAGATTAATTCTGGTACGTGCAGCTTTTGGTGGGATAATTGGCTAGGGGAAGGCCCCCTTGCTCACCATACCAATGAAAGCAATCGACTCAACAACAACACTATCTCTCAATACATGCTTAATGGAGGGTGGAATGAAACAATGGTAAGACAACATGCTCCTCCTTTGATGATCCCAAAGATTTTGAGTATACAATTTCAGTTCCAAGAAGGTGTTGCAGACCAACCTATCTGGAAACTTACTGATAATGGGAAATTCACGTGTGCTTCTACATGGGAGAATATCATAACCAAAAGACCCAAAATTAAGCTGTACATTATATATGGCACAGACACATTCCCTTCAAGGTTTCATTTTTTTATGGAGAGCATTGAGAAGGAAATTGCCTACTAATGACAAAACAACTACATTTGGAGTCCCTCTTGTTAAGTGTTCATGTTGTATCAAGGCTGGCTGGGATACAATTGATCACATATTTGTAACGGGACACTTCGCTAATCACTTTTGGCAATATCATTAAGATATTTTGGGAGTTAGGCATGACAAGATCCCTTTGAATAATCTGATCACGAGATGGTGGACCATTGAGCATACAAAGGAAGTTCAAAAACTCCTATATCATACAATGCCTATTATCATCAGCTGGAACCTTTGGAAGAACGGGTGCTCAGCTAAATATGGAGGGAAACAATCGAGCAGTGCAAGAACCAAGTTCATGATCTTCAAAGACACTTCAATGCTTCTTAATACTGTTTTTCCTTATCTGCAATGGCCTAATTCCTGGCCTGAAATGATTAGCTACGTGCAGCAGTGCTCCCAGGAAATAGGAGTCAGGCCGGTCATCTGGAATAAACCTCCTGTTAATTATTGCAAATTGAACACGGATGGGAGTGCTTTAGCTAACCCTGGCAGCATAGGAGGGGGTGGCATTCTGAGGGATCAGGCAGGAATATAATTTTTGCTTTCACAGTACCACTAGTACAGGTTTCAACAATCAGGCAGAGGTCCAAGCAACAGTTTTTGGATTAAATTGGTGCTATCAACATGGCTATAGGAAGATCGTGTTGGAAGTGGATCGGAACTCATTACTCGTTGGATAAACTTCAATATCAAGCCTCCCTAGAAGCTTCAAGAATACGTTAAGGAGCTGCAACTTCTCATTCAACAGATGGAATCAGTTCAATGCTTGCATACTTATAGGGAAGCCAACACTACTGTTGATTTTTTAGCCAAACTAAGCCACAAGAAAGACATTCCTCAATATTTTTACACTCTTAGCCAACTTCCTGTTCCAATTAAAGGGAACTACTTATTGGAGAAGATGGGCATGATCAACTTCAGAAGAAGAAGCTGAAAAGAGTCAAAAAGCCTCCTTGAATTTAATTCAGTCTTTCCAATTTGACTATGGCTAGAATAGGTATAGTTTCTTTGAATAGGCTCCTTTTATTTTTCTTTCTCCTTATCTTGTAAGGGGAGAGTCTCCCTGGTTTACGCTTTCCTAGTTACTTTGTATGGAGAGGAGTCCTCTTCTTAGGTACTTAGTGCTAGGTTTTTTTATCTCCTTGTAGTACGGGGATGAGTTGATTATCCTTAGTAGGAAAGTCAATTTTGACCCACCATAGGATCGGAGGTAAGGTTTATGTCCCCCTCCTTGTACTTATTTGTTTTTATTTATGCTAAGGCCTGGGGTGTTGCTAAGCCCCTGACCCCCACCCAAGGGTCGTTCAAATAAAAAAAATCTATAACCCTATACCTAAAAATACACAAAAATCTATAAGCCATAAATGCTAAACCTAAAAAACCCCTAAGAAATAGTTAACCCTTAAAACCCCTAAAAAACCAAAAACCCCTAAATATAAAATATTAGAAGCTCTAAACCCTATAAAGCCCTAAATTGTATATGCTAAATTCTAAAAAATACAAAAAAAAACCTAAGCCCTACACTCTAAACCTATAAAACCCTGAAAAACCCCGACTTAAAAAATCCTAAAAACCTAGATAAACTCGTTAGCCTAAATCCCTAAACCTACAAAAAAAAACCCTAAGCCTTCAACCCTAAATCCTACAAAAACCTAAAAGGAACCCTAAAATCTATTTAAAACCCCTACAAAATCCTAAGAATCCATAAATCCTAAACCTAAAAAAGACAAAAAAAAAAAAAATTGAAACCCAAAATTCAATCAACCCTAAAAAACACTTCACCCCTACACACCCTAAAAAACCCAAAAGCCCCTAAATCAAAAAAACTCGAAGCTCTAAACCCAATGAAACCCTAAATTGTATATGCTAAACCCTAAGAAACACAAAAAGACCCTAAGCCCTAAACTCTAAACCTATAAAACCCTAAAAAAACTTTAACCTAAATAAGCCAAAGACCTAAACCCTAAAAACCTATATAAAACCCTTAACCTAAAACCTTAAGCATAAAAAATCCCTAAGCCCTAAACCGTAAACCCTAACCTGAAACCCTAAATCATAAACCTAAAACCTAAGAAACTATAAACGCTAAACATGAAGAAACTCTAAATCCTATAAATCCCAAAATAAACCCTAAAACCATTTAAAAACCTACAATACCCTAAGCTCTAAATCCTAAATGCTAAAAATATGTAAACCCTATTCCTAAAAAACCCCAAAAAAAAGCCATAAGCCCTAAACCTTAAACCCTAAAAAACCCTAAGAAACACTTAACCCTCAAAAACCGTAAGAAATCCAAAAAGAATCCAAAAACCCCTAAACCTAAAAAAACACTAAGTTCTAAACCCTATAAAGCCCTAAATCGTATATGCTAAACCCTAAAAACATAAAAAAAAATCCCTAAGCCCTAAACCTATAAAACCTAAAAAAAAAAAACCCAACCCTAAACCAAAAACCTAAAAAACCAATTAACCCTAACCTAAAAAACCCAAGCCCTAAACCCTAAAAACCTGATAAAACCCTTAATCTAAACCCTAAACCTAAAAAACCATAAGCCTCAAACCCTAAACCCTAACCTAAAACCGTATCTTAAACCTAAAACCCTACGAAACCCTAAACTTTAAGAAACTCTATATCCCATACACCCTAAAATAAACCCTAAAAACCATTTAAAATGCTTAAAACCCTAAACCTTAAAAAAAACCTAAGCCCTAAACCATAAACCCTAAGAAACACTTAACCCTTAAAAACACAAAAAACCCTACACTAAAAAAACTCTAAGCTCTAAACTCTATAAAGTAGTAAATCTTATATTTTAAACCTTAAAGAACACAAAAAATCCCTAATCCCTAAACCCTAAACCTATAAAACCCTAAAAAATATTAATCTAAAAAACCCAAAGCCCTAAACCCTAAAACCTAGATAAAACCCTTAACCTAAAATCCCAAACCTAAAATAACTATAAACCCTAAACCCTAACCTAAAACCATAAATCCTAAACCTACAACCCTAAGAAACCCTAAACCCTAAACCTTATAAACTCTAAAATAAACCCTAAAACCATTCAAAACCCCTACAAAACCCTAAGCTCTAAACCCTAAATCCTAAAAATAGGTAAACCCTAAACCTAAAAAACATTAAAAAAAAATTGAACCTTAAAAAAACACTAAGAGATACTTAATCCATAAAAGCCTTAAAAATCAAGAAACGCCTAAACTTAAAATACTCTAAGCTCTAAACCCTATAAAGCCATAAATCCTATATGCTAAACCCTAAAAAACACAAGAAAAAACCCTTAGCCCTAAACCCTAAATCTATAAAACCCTAAAAAAACCTTAATGCAATAAACCCAAAGCCCTAAACCTAAAACACTACATAAAGCCGTTAACCTAAAACCCTAAACCTAAAACCCTAAACCTAAAACCCAGAAAAACCCTAAACCTTAAACCATAAGAAACCCAAAATCCCATAAACCCTAAAACCCATTTAAAAGCCCTACAAAACCTTAATCTCTCAACCCTAAATCCAAAAAATCTATAATCCTAAACCAAACAACCACAAAAAACCATATGCCATAAACCTTAGAACCTTTAAAACCCTAAGAAACACTTAAACCATAAAAACTATAAAAAAAATATATATAAAAAAAAAAAAAACCCAAAAACCCCAATATATAAAACAGTATAGGCTCTAAACCCTATAAAACCCTAAATCGTATAAGCAAAATCCTAAAATAAACATACAAACCCAAAGCCCAAAACCCTAAACCAATAAAACCCTGAAAACCTTAACTCAAGAAACCCTAAAAACCTAGATATATAAAACCCTTATCCTAAATCCCGAAACCTCAAAAAACCCTAAGCCCTAAACCATAAACCCTAAATCCTAACCTAAAACCGTAAATTCTAATCCTAAAACCCTAAGAAACCCTAAACCATAAACCTTTAGACACCCAACATCCAATAATCCCTTAAAATACCCTAAAAACCATTTAAAACCCCTACAAAACTCTAAGCTCTAAACCTTAAATCCAAAAAATCTGTAAACCCTAAACCTAAAAACACAAAAAAATCTAAGCCCTAAACCCTAAATTCTAAAAAAATCCTAAGAAACTCTTAACCCTTAAAAAAACTCTAAGCTCTAAAACCTATAAAGCCCCAAATCGTATATGCTAAAACCCTAAGAAACCCTAAATCCTATAAACCTTAAAATAAACCCTAAAACCAATTAAAACCCTAAGCTCTTAACCCTAAATCCTAAAAATCTGTGAACCCTAAACCTAAAAAACACAAAAAACACGCTAAACCCTAAACCC